ATTGAGGGCATACGTACCCCGAGCGAGGACGACAGGGGAACTGCCTCAACAAATCATTGTTTTTTCTTTATGTTTATATTGCTAAAATTATGAGTTTTTAGTGCAAACGATTGTGTCAATCAAATTCTCATTTGAGTTGTGCTGAATTATTTTTTATGCTTGTTATAATCATTGATTGTAATAGAACACTTGAGCATACTAATCTCAAAATAGAATTCATTGGTAGTGCCTTGCACTCCAAGTGTTTGATCAATTGTGTGAACTAAAAATAATTGTGATGTCTTTTCAAATTGCCTATATTTTATTTCTTTTCACACACCCTAATCCTAGTTCACACCTCTGGACATTTTCATTTTCATTTTTGTTTTCTCATTTAGATTTTCTAATTTATTTAGATTTTCCACAAACTTAGTTTTGAAAATTTGATTTACTTTTCTAGAATTGTTAGTTAATATTTAGGTTAGTTAATTTATTTGTTTTTAATTAAATATTAAAACCCAAAATATTTTCTTTAACTAGTTTTTAGATTTACCTTTTCTCTTTTGATTATTTTAAAAAATTAATTTATTAAAATTATTTAGATATGTGTTAATTAATTCCTATTATTTTCTTTGATCTCTAACTTCGCAAGTTTGTAACTTGATTCCTTAGTTTGAATGTTTACTCTATTTCTATTTGATTTAGATTTTGTTTCTTCAATTCTCCTGTTCATATCTCATTTCTCCTTTGTGTAATTGTTTGTTGTCCGTGTTCTCTTGAAATTTCATAATATGTGATTCTTGTTGTTCTGCTTATATTGTGAGTTGATTATCTCCTTTAGCATATGCCTTGTTCATTTTACCATTCGCCCATGACAATTATCTTCCATGCTTAAAACTTCATCATGTGCTCCTTATTGATTATACCATTCCAAAGAAAAGGATTCCTAATTGACTGCCATGTCATATTTAGGATAGCTTAGCTTGCTCATTCATTCCCTTTCATCCTAGCCTTAGGATTAGAGTCGTCGTACTCTATGTGAGTGCCATGGTTATGAAAACTCACTTTCCCTTTCATCCTAGCCTTAGGATTATAGTCGTCGTACTCTACGTGAGTGTCTTGCCACAAACACTTACCTTTCCCTTTTAACCTAGCCTTAGGTTTAGAGTTACCGTACTATATGTAGGTGTCTTGCTATAGACACTTACCTTCCCTCTAGAACCTTGACCACATTCAAGAGTTCCTCACCCGTCGCCAAGCGAACTACGAATGCTCTGATTCTATCCTTGTTAGGATACGCAGGCACAAGACGCGATGTCTTGGTGAGCATACTTAACAAATACCTTAGGTCTTTTCCTTAGTAAGCAAACTTTAGCATAACACAAGTACTAGCACCTTCCCTAGGTATAACCAACCCTCGATCCTTAGATCTCTTAGCTTTTTTGTTACATAGCGCACTTAGGGTTTTCTTCGATCTTTACCTCTTCCTTTAGATAAACCAAAGCTCGATGGTGAATTTCATAATTTGTAATTCAAGTTAATCAATAGCTTGATATCTGATTCACTGTAGCAGAATGGAATAAAAAACTATGGATGAATTCATGCTAAGAGAAATATTTGCAAGAGAGTCCACACAAGAGTTTCCTTCTCTAAAAATATGAGATATAATAAGGTTAGAATTAGAAAAATGACCTATAAGATTACTCCAAGTGTTCCCAAACTTACAGTGAACCAAAAGAAGGTTGGAATAGGATTTGATGATCAAAGAACAATCCGTCTCAATCCAAAGCATATTCGAACCCTTTTGAACTGCAAAATCCAGGCACTTGATAACAGAGGAGACCTCAGCAAAAAAAGAAGATATGGGTTCGACTATGTCCGCAAACCCAAGAATGAAATTTCCCAAGTGATTCCTAAAAACACCACCAACTTCGGTAGAGTTTGATGAAGATTTGAAAGCTCCATCGCAGTTTCATTTTATCCAACCGATAGAAGGAGGGCACTAAAGCACCTCAATGATGTTAGGTGCTCTAGGAGGTTTAATGTTGACGTCAAAAGATTTAATGATAGAGAAATCAAAAACAGAGATATAAGAGTATTTTGAAGTATTATCGCCTGCAGTTTTCACCTCCATACTAATCAAAGCGATGAAGTTCTGAATGTAAATTTTATTATTATTGTGCTTCAGTTCATTTCTCACCTTCTATGTCTGAGACAGAGAGAATATTATGGCAGCTTTTGAAATCAGAGCTACCTACACATATTTTCTAGTCGTACAAAATGTTATTAGCTCCTTAATAAACATAAACATCATTCTGAAATTAACTTTGTGTCTAAGTCAACTCCAAATCCCCTGCGCATAGGGACAATTTATGAAAAAATGATCAAGAGTCTCCATATCTACATTACAAAGGTAGCAGTGCAAAACCAAAGTAACACCCCGCTTCACAACCTGACAGACCATAGAGAGTTTCCCACGAATGAGCTTCTAAACAAGTGACGAGTGCCTCGGAGGGGTATCGGCACATAATACTTACCTGGCCCAATTATAGATAGCCGCAGCTGGAGATTTCCGGTGTAAGCATCTTTGAGCATGAGAGAGGCTTTATCAGTTGGGAACCAAATACGCCTGTCATCAACACCAGAATTTAAAGGTGGAATGAAGGAGAAAATGAAAGGGAACCAAAGCTTCCAATTACTTGGGAAAGTCCAACTCCTTTCCGGTTAAAAATCTAAGACTTTACTGCTAGAAGAAATACCTTTGGATGCCAAAAAATTCACAAAAGTGGAATCTACCAGCGGCTGACCGCACTAGTTATCGAGCCAGAAGTTAAAATTCTTGCTAGAACCAACTAGTCAACGAGTGTTCGAGTGAACCATCTCAATTCTATTTTTGCACCAGACCATAAAGAGAAGAAAACATGGTATTTAATAATCCCTTTAGGCCTAAGAAGTCTCCCTCTAAGAATGACAGCCCAATCGTCCCTGCTACTAAAAAGCTCCCATCAAAGCCTTAAATTGAAAGCCTCATTAAGACGCATAATTGGCTTAAGGCCAAGCCCACCACCACTAACTGGCTGACAACACTTTTTCCAAGCCACCATGAACATACTTCGTTTATGAATATCGCCAGTCTAGATGAAATTCCTACACACTTGTTCGAGATTTTTTATTAAGGAAACGGGCCAAGAGTAGACAACTATAGTGTAAGAAAGCATATCGTAAACCGTAGACTTTACAAGAGCGAGTCTCCCCGCCATTGAAAGAAGAGATCCCTTCCAAGACGACAGCTTTCCAAATATTCTGCCGGCAATCGGTTGCAAATGGTAGGCCTTTACTCTACCTTTAAACAATGGAACTCCCAAATAAGTGAAAGGAAGACTGCCACATTTGAAACCAGTCAGCTCCATAATTTTCTGTCGCTGGTTTGTGCTAACAGTTCCAGGAAAGAAGAAAGATTTTCCAAGATGATATTCTGTCCCGAAGCAGTTGTGTACTCAACAAATACCTTCTTGAGAGCTCTAGTGTTTATTATCTTAGCAGTGCAAAATATGAGGATGTCGTCAGCATAAAGGATATGGGACATGATTAGCAAACTTTTGGAAGATTTGATGAACTCAAGATCCCCATTCAAGACCAACTTTCCAATGCTACGACTTAAAACGTCTTCAGCCAGGCAGAATAAAAGGGGAGAGAGTGGATCCCCTTGTCTCACACCTTGAAAACATTTGAAGTAACTGTGTTGGATACCATTAAAATTGAGCGAAATTGTGGCTGATGAAAGAAGAGCCGCAATCCAATCACAGAACTTATTGTAGAAACCAAACTGCTTCAGAATTGAAATAAAAAAGTCCCATCTTTTTGTGTCAAACGCCTTAGAAGTATCGACCTTAAAAGCAAGGTTACCATGAGAACATTTTCTATCCAAAACATTAATCGCCTCGGAGGCTAAACAGGTACACTCGCGGATGTTCCTACCATTAATGAAACCTCTGCACAACTGAAATAATCTAAGGCATTATGGTAAATAATTTGTTAGCTAAGATCCTCGAAATTATCTTGTATTTGAAATTTGACAGTGCAATAGGACAAAACATGTCCATGGAATTTGCATCCTTAGATTTGGGAATGAAAATCAGGGAGTTAGCATTAAAATTCAGGAGTAGACACCCAGTACTGAAAAACTCAAGAACCGCAACACGAACATCTCATTTGATAATGTCCCAATAGGTATGGTAGAATACCCCTCCAAAACCATCAGGACCGAGAGCGCTAGATTTATTGAGATTGAAAATAGTTGTAGTAATTTCATCCAACAAAGGCAGAAGAGTTAAGAGATTATTAGTGTCAGAGTCCACCAAGGAGGGGATAGCATTGTCAGTGATCTTAGGCTCCTGCGGAGTACCTGCAAAACAAAAGAAATTAATGTAATAATCCATTGCAATTGCAGCCATCACAACAGGATCGGTGACCGACTCGTCCCCCTTTTAAAAAATGGCAATGATGTACTTTTCTCTCTTGATTTTTGCCATACGGTGAAAGAAATCAGTATTTCTGTCCTTCCACTTGTGCATCTTAAGATTCACTTTTTTCGACCACAAGACTTCTTCATAATGCTGCATTTTTTCGAGTTTTGTTCGAACTTCCTTTTCTATAGCTTTAAGATCACTCCTGGGGCCATGTAAACTGATTTCCTGCTGTATTAACTCAAGGGAGAAAAGGCAGCTGCTAATGACTCTTTTGAAATTACCAAAAATGTCTATATTCCAAGTCTTTAAACTCTTTTTCAGGATTTGCAGCTTCGTTTGAAGAATGTACATTGGGCAACCGAAAACCTTAATGGCCCAAATTGAAGAAATATGGTCTTTACGATTGTCATGGAAAGTCCACATCTCCAAGAATCTAAAGTGAGAAGGTAATTTAATGATGTCTAAACAAGCTTCTATGAGAATTGGATGGTGGTCGAATTTGAGTCTCGAGAGCGAAATGGCCTGAAAATTGCTGCAAGCCGTGAACCAGTCTTAATTTCCAAAAGCTCTGTCAAGCCTTCTTTCAATCGAGGCACTGCCACTTCTACCATTATGCCAAGTGAGAGTGGAACTTTTAGCAGGGAATTCAATCAAGCTAGAATCATTAACCCAAGCCCGAAAATCCAAAATGGAAGCATTACTAGGGCTAGAGAAACTTCTATGCTCATGAGCACCAAGAATGGAATTAAAATCACCAAATATACACCAAGGGATATTTAAAGAGTTTAGACAAAAAGGATGAATCGGATTCATTGAATCCGTCACAATTTAGTTATGAAATATAAATGTCCTAAAATCAGTATTATTTAATTAAGTGACAGAATAAATCCCTCACAAATAATGAGTATTTATTTATAATTCTTGACTAATTACTTGACGAAATATAAACATCACTAAATCAATTATCGTAATTAATGAGGTATTTACAAATCCCTCACAATTATTTAGTGAAATATGTTCACAAAGGTGAATTTCTTTTATATATTTAGTGATGGAACGTTAGTGTTAGTGATAGATTAATTCCATATTGTGACGAAATTTAAAATCCTTCATAAAAATTTTGCGACATTAAAATTTAGTATGGATATTGGTCCGTTGCTAAATTCATTACTAAATTGATTTGTGATGGAATTTTAGTGTATTAGTGACATAATACTGCCCTCTTTAAATTTAATTTTTTTAATAGTGAAACAAAAATACAAAATAGTAAAATGCACTTTTAGTCTCTTCTGTGTTCCAGTCGTTCAATCAAGGTCATGTAGAGTTGTCTCACAAGTAGATGGATCATGTAATCCTTGCAATTGGATTTTTGCTTTATTTGCAGGATCACTAACAAATCACACATAGGCATCAAATGCAAAAAACAATAAGAATATGAGAGTAATATAACAATTCTTTTATACTCCCTCTAAAAAGAAAACATCTCTTTCAACCTATAACCATCTCATCAATATATATTGTTATTACTTTTATATGATTAAGGAGAGGGGAGAAGAGGGAAATGCAATTTGATTAATTCTATTTCATTTAGGGGGAAAGGAGGTGATTAAAATCTTCTAGAAAATTATTTGTTTTCCCTTAAATTAGAGGATTTAGAGGAGAGAGATGAAATATTTAAGAAAAAATTACATTAACAAAATTACCTTCAAATTTTTATTAAAATAACATAATATTAAAAGTTTTAGTGTCATCTCTTCATGCTACACTATTAAATATAAATATACATATTTCTACACTTAATTTTTTATAATTATAATTTTTCATTATATTATTAGTTTCCCATTTTCTATATATTTTTTAATACAAAGTAATTATGGTTTAATATATAAAATTTAAAATAAAATTATTCATAGATAGATTAACTACTTTGAAAGATATTATCACTGTTATTATAAATATATTTATTTTAAATATTTATAATATTAATGTTTCTGTGTTGTTTATAAATATATAAATTTTTCTATGATGAAATTTGATAAAACTTGTTTTGACTTTGACAGGAATATTCTAAGATTTTAAAAATAAAATGATAAATTAATTTTAAAATCTCTAATTCTCATGTTAACTAAATATATTGTTAATTGAACTAAATATATAGATAAAAAAACAATACAGGGATTAAACCAAAACCATTCAGAAGTGATAAGTGGTGGGTATCAAGTTTGTCTAACTAAAAAATCTTTATTAATATTACTATATACAAAATGGAAGAAATAGTTCGTTCTAGACCCAAAATTTATAGTGGCTAATGTAACATGCTAAATATTTCCACACAATTTCAAATAAAAATTAGAGTAAAATAAAATACAAACATTGTTAGGATGCTACAAATCAACCAACCTATATAACACAATGTTCTTATTAATAATAATAATAATAATAATAATAATAATAATAATAATAATAATAATAATAATAATAATAATAATAATAATAATAATAATAATAATAATAAAACATGTCTGAATTTCAACTTTTATTATTAAGACATAACCATATTTTCAACATAACCATATTTTCATACATCGACTTCAACCAATTATTCAAGACATAACCATATTCTCATACATCAACGTCAACGAGTTATTCAAGACATAACCATATTTTCAAATTTAACATAAATAACAACAACTTCAAAAGATATCCAAAAAATCTCCCACAAAACATAACATGCATAAACATTCTATAACCCCAGTGTTACACATCAGAGCAGACGTAGACACTAAAAATAAAACAGAAGACTCCATCTTCAACTCACATCAACTCCTCGACTGCGAGTTATCTGTATGATGTCCATGTAAAGGCAACATTCAAACAGAAGAAGTGAGATATCATTATTATATAAAGGAAAGTATGATAATAAGTAAGCAACATATTATGACATGCACATCACCCACTCCACAACGCACTACAACACAATCAACACAATCATCAACCAAACACAACAACGATGCAATCAATGTGCAATGCAAATAGACTCAAAACTCAACTCAATGCATGTGGTACCAAATACGTGAACACCCAGGTTCACCGCTCCGATTCTCGCCTCCTAGGATCAGAGCTCACCAATCATTATTATCATTTCGGTAACGTCTCACTGATTCCTTCACCTCCAAAATTAGCTACCGGCACTCAATCTCCGCCTCCTGGGGTTGAGGCTCAACAACAACTGACCAATGTCCAATATCATGAATGCATGCAACATATCATACATGCACGAACAACATCAAGCACAATGAACAACACCTCCATAGTCAAGGTACTCCTCCAATACTGGCTATCATGCACCAAATACATGCTACAACAGTCAACAACCACAAAACAACGATATAGTAATCAACCACAACGCATTTATGAATATGCCACATCACAACATAAGCATCACAATGATTTTTGCACTATCACACTACAAAATATACGACCTCTACTACAAAAACCAAATTTTGAATACAGTTCGTCACCTCAGCTTCCCGACGGTTTGAACGGCACTCGAATCGGACTCCCGAAACTAAAGTTATGATTTTTCAAAGATTTTTTAAAAATGTTCCCAGTGTAACCGGTTACTCCAAATGAGGTAACCGGTTACGCTCCTTTTAACCATATATCTCTCGCCTCTGTCTCTCAGTATAATCGGTTACCATAAATCAAGTAACCGGTTATACTCTCATAGTTTTGCCCAATAACACGTTTTTAACAAAATGTAACTAGTTGCTTCAATCCAGGCAACTGATTACACCTGTAGCAGAAGCACTTTTCTGCTGCTTTTCAAAACCATAATCACTTTTAATCAACAGAAAACCCCATATTTCATACCATTCGATTGATGCATAATTTTACCCAAAAATCACTTTTCTAAACATCAAAACTCCGACTCTTTTCACAAAAATACTCATAACTTTGCGCTTTGACTTTGACCCGCAATCACATCAACCAGACGACAAAAAAATCATACAATCCAAACAGTATTATGATTCCAACAACAACAATTAGTCATTCCAACATCAATTACAACATCAACATACCACACATAATTCATAAATCAAGGATTCAATCCATTCAATACCAATTTCAACAATGATTGTACATAGAGAGAAAACAAGCACAAACCCTACATGGCATAATCTACCCACTATCATCATATTAACCCTTAGATAATTAGAACCCCACCATTACCTTAGAGTTCTTGCAGGTTCCTCAACAATGGTGATTTCTCCTCTTTCTCCTAGAGCCCTAGCATTCACTTTCTCTTTTCTCCAAATTTTTATGATCGGATAGATTTCTCCCACTATCCCCTTATTTCTTATTACTATATTATTATTATTATTATTATTATTATTATTATTATTATTATTATTATTATTATTATTATTATTATTATTATTATTATTATTATTATTATTTTTTATTATTATTATTATTATTATTATTATTATTATTATTATTATTATTATCATCATTTAATCCAACTAATTAAAATAATAACAATAATAATACTATTAAATATTTAATCCAAATAATATTTTCCTAATATCATTTAATTAAATAACTAATATAAGTTAATTAGTTTTACTCTCCACACCACCAATATCTACTAAATTACTTCCACACTTTCCAACACCTTAAAGTCTATTCTTAAGCCAACAACCTCACACCAAGGATAGCTCAAACACACCAATAACACAAGAAAATCACAACAACTCATACTTTAAACTACGGGAAATAAATAAAATAGGTTGGGGAATTACAACTAACGAATCTGCACAACCATTGGTTTCCCTAAATACATGTGTGACCAAAAACATCATGTCAACAATGGAAGCAACATAGTTCAACCATCTAGATCTAATCTTCCAAGGAACAATGCTAATATTTTAAAAATAATTGATGACACAAGTAGAATTAGATTTGATCCAAAGATTGTTCCACTTATGCTATTTAGCAAACTAGATAGCAAAAATAGCTACCATGAGCTCTACAAACAGAGCATTCCCATTATCTAAAAAGATTGTGAAGCTACCCAAATGGTTAGCTACCAAAATTTGGCTATAAATTATTTTTATAGTTAATATAAATTTTAAAGACAACTATTTAAATCCAATTACAACTCAGGATACGCCTCACGCATCATGCTCTCCAACTCTCTAGTCATATTTCCACCACCAACGCCTCCCCGTACTACCTTCACGAGAGCAATCTCCTTGCCTCTCAACTGCTTCACCTCACGGTTTTCAATCCTTACAGGCAAAGCCTCAACTGTAAGGTTATCCCTTACCTGAACATCATTCATCAGAATGACATGCGACGGATATGGAACATGCTTCCGAAACTGTGAAACATGGAACACATCATAAAAATTCGACAAATTTGGTAGCAACACCACTCTATAAGAAACAACTCAAACTCTTGCTAATATCTGATACGGGCCAATAAACTGAAGAGTAAGCTTCCTCGACTTTAAAGCACGTCCGACACTGGTCACTGGAGTGACTCTCAAGAATACATGCTCTCCCTCTTGAAACTCAAGATCCTTCCTCCTCTTATCATGATAACTCTTTTGCATACTCTGTGAAGCTCTCATCTTCTCCAGAATCAGCTTCACCTTCTCAGTAGTCTGTTTTATGATCTTAGGTCCAAGTACTACACTATCACTAAATTCATGCCAACACAGAGGCGTCCTACACCTCCGACCATACAAAGCTTTAAAAGGCTCCATTCCAATACTAGAATGAAAAATGTTACTATAAGTGAACTCA